CAGCCCGAGGTCGTCACATGTGGTTGCCGCAAGCCCGCCGGCCGCTCCTTCATCGAATCCGCCGGCCGTTCCTCACTCTAGGCCACCGTGTGTGACGTTGTGTGTTTCGTAGCAAACTACTTTGTTTGGCCTTCCAAAAGAGGACACGTCCTGATCCTGGTAGAGTAGACTACAATGCCGGCTGACTCACAGACTGTAAGAACGTTTTCATATTTAAAGGAGTTGCCACTGACGATTCAAACGCGAGTTTTGAGCAGTGTAGAGTAGCATTTGTTGTGTCATTTCTTCGATCACAAATGCAGACATGGTTTTATGTTTACGTGGCGCGATGCAACGCAACGCGTAAAAAGACAGTATAAGTCATTATAATCCATAATTATGTCCCCACTGGATGCAACAAATGCCTCGTTTATAATGGGTTTTAATGTTTTTGTCTCGTCGCTCCGGCCGGGACACGGCATCACAGTATGGTAAGGGGCGTAACATTTCCGACACACGCTTGAGGTATTCGGCCAATCACAACGCACTGGATAGCTGGATCAGAGCACACCTCACTTTTCAGAACGATGAGCTTTGTAAAAATCGACACGTTTCAAAAAGTCGGGGCATAGAGGAGAAACAATAATGTGCAGTATGTGGAAAATAATGAGTTTTTTTTTACCTTAAACCGCATAAACACATTTCATTACACCAAATACACAAAATAATGTTCTTTTTAGCAACATCATATGACCCCTTTAATTAAAATAAAGGCCAAGTGTAATTAAAGAGAGTATACTTCATGACTCTGTTTCTCGGCACACTTTTAAAATGGCACACAAGGCTTTTAAAAATTGCAATAAGTAACTATATCAAATTGAAGTTTTAATGTACATACAAATGCACATGTAAAGTACATGATTATAATCATAACTGTAGTTTGTTTTTAATATTACATTTGAGGTGAACATTTTTTAAATGTACTAAATTGCAACTTTACTAAATTGCAACAATTACAAATATATTTAACTACATGACATATAAGTTTCAATAGAAAAAAAATATTAAAGTATATTTTGGTTTACCATAAATGCTTGTCAGTACAATTGGAAGTACAATAATACCATAATACATTTGAATCTATATATAAATAACATGCAATTAAGTGTCAGAAAACATTTAGTATTCAATATTATTTTGAAGTATACTATTTCTGCAATAAGTACTCTATTTAAAAATATACTATATTGTACTTTTTTGGACAAGGATCCTCCGGTCTCGGTCTTGACTCAGACCCAAAATACGCTGACTCCAATGAGCTGATCTCGACTACAACATTGACAAATAAGTAATTGGCCTACTGTGTCAACAGACTGGACTGTTCTTAGCTGCTACAGATCTATGAAAAGTAACTTGTGGACTGAGACATATTTTTTAAATGGGTCTAAGGTCATCAGGGCCTACCCACAATCTGTCGACCATTGACAGTTGTGCATCTTATTAGACAAGGTGAATAATTAGGCAGTGTCATGAATTACAGGACATATTTTTACCTTACTGAATAAATTTGTGCCCGCTGAGAGCAGCCCGCTGAGAGTGCCGCTCTTGATTCACTCTAATACAACGATAATAAAGAGCTTGATCTTGAAATACTCAATGGGTTTACTCTTTACATTAATGTGATTTGTCTACATATTTCTGACCAATTTCAAAGGCTTCGTATAACATACAGAGGTACGTACCCTCTTCTGTTTAAAATAATCTCAACAGTATTTTCTTGTTTTTGCCCCACTACGTGTAGGATTCAGCAGCCTCAGCTTTTTGCTTTGGTTATGGCCCATTGCAATATTGTAAGCTTTAGAATCATTAGGGCAGAGAAATGATAACATGAAAAATTGATATAAAAAAAATAAAACACAATTTTCACTCTTTTTTTTTGTTATAATATATTTTGAAGGAAAATTTCAACATGTTCCAAAACAAAATGTATATTTTGTATTTATAGATATATTTATTTAATATTCAGATTTTATTACAGCTTTTTTGTTATTAATGAAACTTATTTTAATAGCTTTAGTTTTAGTTTGTTAAAAAAAAACAAAAAAAATCTAAATGGTAGTAGTAAAAAAATTGAACCGTTATGATGCATACCTCAAACTGACTAAAAGTGGTCACTGGGGATTTTTTTAGCCGATTGCAATATTATCCAACTAACAATTAAACGGTCAACCCAGAGTCTATTTATGGTTAAGTACCAGTTTAACACAGACTGGAACTAATTGGAACTGACTGATGCACAATAAAGCATGAAATATGTTCAAATAAATAATCAGGATTGTAGCACCCATGGAAAATGTTACTTATAGCATTCTTTTAATGTCTGCTTCTGCTCAGATGAAAAGTTTGCACTAGTTTAACATTTTTGCACCACTATAACCAACCATAGGCATGTTCATTGTGTGCATAAACAATCATTAATCAGAGGAATGTAAATTAGCATGTATACCTATCAGTAACAACAAACTTGTGTTTGTTGTTACTGATAGTGTTTGACAAACACTCACTTGCAATACAGCCATGAGCAAACCGCACACCAAAACTATAAAAATTCCCATTATAATCAACAATCCCAGACACGGTTTAAAGATTCAAATGTCAAATTCTGAGCAATAACGGGGGTCTGAAAGTGTCTAGCTGTCATTCAGCTGTCTCAGTTTGGATGAGATCAGAGTGTGACGTAAGGGGCCAGAGATACGGACCCATTCTGTGATGAGTCTAAAAATGGCTCTTGATAGAGCTGCCACATTACCATGCAGGCTTGGCGTCTTCATTCGCTGCCACTACAGCAGACAAAGGCTGAAGTGTGTTCACTGCCAAAACACAGACTTCAGCTGACCTGCTGCTGTCTAACACCCCGTACAATCCACTGCGTTCTAACAGTCTCCAAACTCTGAGAAGGTGATTATGTGATTATCAAAGCTGCACCTTCTTTTAAACACTCCAGTGAATTTTTATTAAGCACATTCTACGCTCTCAAATTCCTCATTGATTTCTAAAGAGAATAAACACTTACAATAAGGTCTCAGTGAAACATACAGAACGTTACAACACATTCACAACACCCCCACATCAATCCACCCACTCACTTTTTCCTCCTACACCCTCTCTCTAGCACAAAAGTTAACAAATGAAACAGGAAAACTATTCAGCCAATGTATCATACACACGGGGGAGTCGTGTCTTAGGCTGCAACTTCCTTCTCATTAGCTTAATGGCATTTGAGGCCTTTAACTCAGTAGAAACAGCATGTAGAGAGACATACAAGAGACAACTGGTATTAAACTGCATGACTAGTTCCATTGATACGACACTACATGTATGTGGGGTGCATCATATGCAACATATTGTGTGCGGTAACATGAAGGGGGAACCCAAATCAGTTTTGAAATGCTTGTAAATGCATCCTATAAATTCACAAATAAGTGCATGAATAAGCCTTTTAGGTTAACAACATTTTTTTTGAATGTGATAATATGCAGATTTTTATCACAACTAGAGAGCTGCAGTGAAAAAAATGGCAACATCTAAATACCTATAACTTTTATTCAAGTCAAAAATATTATTTGATATTAATGAATTAACATAAATATATTTATACCAAAAATAGTTTTATATTAAAAATCAAGTAGAAATAGCTGTTTAAGAGAAATAAAAAATCAAGTAGAAATAACTGTTGCAGGTTACTACATTTTCAATGTTATTTAGCAGTGAAATGTTGTAGTTTTTTTTTTTTTTTTTTTTTTTTAGTAATCTGCAGTTTTGGACTGTAGACAACTTTTGTGGAACTCTCAGGTCCATAGAAAATGTTCGTCCAATCATTGCATTCATTCCGAATGGGTTTTAATCCACACAATGCACTTGCAGAGTTTATTCTCGACAGGTAAGCTACAGTAAACTTCTAGTTGAAAGTATTCCTAATATGTTGGACCTTTTATTGAAAGTAGCCCAGTATTTTTACCTGTTGAGACATGCCTTCACTTTTATAGACCTGTACTATAAGAGCCGTATTTGTGATGTTTGAATTGGGGGAAGCGAGATGCACAAAAGGGGCATTTGAAAACATTCTTTATTTTTATAGTTCTGTTAGGTCACACTAGTAGTGCAAAAACTGAATACTACATCTCTAACATGAACAAAAAGGTATTTTAATATAATATTTGATACTGTGTGCTGAGAAAAACACTCCTAAGTAAGGATGAGTCAGGACAACAGACTAGTTGCATTCGACAAGCATATGTAGATATTTTCTTATTGCTGTGTCTACAATCACATACTGTCGAGTAGGCACTTATATTTCATTTGATACTTACTCTGTGAATGTGAAAAAAGTATGTTCTATGTAGGAGGAATATGGAAAGAATGAATTACATGTTAGTGTACTACCCTGTTGAAAAAAAAAACAGCATATGCTGGTTAGGTAGCCTATGTTTTGAAGCATGGTAGCTGGTTTGAGCTGGTTTAAGATGGTGTTTACTTGGTCCTTAGCTGCTCATGAGCTGGTTTAAGCTGGTCCTAAGCAACTAGCTCCTGCTCAGGACCAGCTTAAACCAGCTCAAACCAGCTGCCATGCTTCAAAACATACCTAACCAGCATATGCTGGTTTATTCAATAGGCTACATCGGCCATGTCACTGTCATGTGACCTACCAGTGACAGCTGTCACTTTACTTCCATTCACTCCTCCTCCCCCATAGCTACATGGAATAGTAATAAAGTGACCTTTGAATGTGCACTCCAGAATCTCGGTGGAAGTAGTAAGTCATCCAGAACTTACTATGAATTCGGACATACTACTCTTTTGACATACTGTTTTTCACATACTATATTTTATGTCAGTGTGAACAATAAAGCCCACTGTGTATGGTTGTAGGAGTTTTCAGTCACTGCATTGTCCAATCAATTAGTTGATTTTGGAAAAAAAAAAAAACTGAAGAGCATTTAGAAGGACAGAGGGTATATTACCTTGCTGGATGATTTGGTTTTGCTGTTGTGGTTGCTGTTGGTGGGGAGGCTGGCGTCCTCATGTACACTGTCCAGAAGCCACAGCAGGAACTCCAAAGCATCATGTTGAGCGTTCCCCTTGAACTGAGAGCCATACTTGGACACAACACTCTAGGGAAGGAGCGGGAGATTGTGTCAGATAAATGTTGATATGGACACAGCTTTGAAACTAATTGCATTATAACTTCAATCATACAAATCTTGTTTTTCTCCCTGATTTCATACCCGATTCACAGCTGTTCCGATATACGGCCGTTACGCTCTCTTGGCCAACACTACTCAGCCAATAAGATTCAAGGACCAGAGTTTTCAGTGATCCAATTATAAATGGTCAGCCAAGAAGCAGTAATGTTTACACCTGGTCTTAACATGCATTTTAATTTTGTCTCCTGTGACCACTTGTGTTCAGATTTCATATAGACTGTAGCACACAAATAAAATTGAATGAATGAAGCCATTACGCTGCTTATGAGTGAGCAGGAAACTAAACAAAACGAATGGAAAGGATACAATTGGTAACAGTGACTTTGGTCATAATCCGTGTGTTTTGGCACAACATAGCGAAGTTAGAATTTATTGTTTTTGTTCGCGTTCTTAAAACACGTCCCAGAATGCTCACGTGTGTGGTGGGCGGCAAATAGGCCTTTTGTCGCTGTTTAAACACATTCGACCACACTACAAAAGCAATCCCGACTGAATGTGTTTTCAGCTACCTCTGGAAGTGGTCCCAAGTGGACAAGCTCAAAACCTTTTATACTGTGTTTACACCTGCATTTAGCATCATGCACTTGTGATCATGAACACATTTTTAATACCAGGTCTAAACAGAGCCTTATGGTCATAATTTTTGTTGTGAATGGCCCTTAATTGTTGTATAAATGTGAATCGGCCACCAATATTCTGAAAACATATACGAGGTGAGGTGTTATTTAATTTAAAGTTTAGTTACAGGTGCTGTTAGTGTACTAAAAAGTGACATTTTAAGCTGCAAAGTTGCCCAAGACAAACACCTTTTCACCTGATTATGAGTCCCTATATTGACTTAAATGAAGAGAAGTTTTCCACTTTCTTCTGTGCAAACTTAAAGCCTTAACTTGATTTGTAGTCAATGAATTCAGGCCTAAAAACTAACATTTACCAAATGTCCTGTGTGACTTTTAAGCAAAGATGGACATCAAGAACAGGTTAAACGTATGAAAAGGATTCTGAGCACATTAGCACAATGTCATATTCAGATCATAATAATCCCCTTATCCGCTTATCATATTTGGATTGATCTGGGATAGAAGCAGATTTTGGGAATCACAAAGCTTCAGTAAGACTAGAAATATATGGGTTACTCAGTAATATAAATTATGCACTGCTATTCTAATAGCACCTCATTTTGCAGATTTCTTCTCTTAACAAAAACAAAAATCCTCAAATATTAGGCCTACATTTTTTCACTCCTCAAAGGAAATATAATATTTATTTGTCATTTCATAATTGCTTCAGTATCACATTAACCAGTACAAGATGTTTATTTACAATATGAACAACATTTATCACTGATATGGTGCTTGCTCAACTGTATCAAAGGAATAGTGCACCCAAAATGAAAATTCAGTCTTCATTTATTCACCCTCATGCCAAGCTTTAAAGATGGTTGCTCTTTTTTGTAATGCTATTATAAAAAATGGAAACTGATGCAAAGTCACCATAAAAGTGGTTCATGCAACTTGTACACTATTCTAAGTCTTCTAAAGCCTAACAAACATTTTGACATTATTTACTCTTAACCCTTATGTTGTTCCAAACCTGTATGCGTCTATTTCTTTTGCAGTGTTCTACAATATTTTGAATAATGTTGTTAGCCAAACAGTTTTAGTAACCATTGTATGGCAATCAAAAACACGGAGACATTTCTTAAAATATCCACAGAAGAAAATCAGTCATACAGGTTTCATATTTGAATTTTCATATTTGAGTGTACGGTTCCTTTAAGGGCATTCACACTGTTTCATACTGGATGTTATTTCAGTCTCAACAGCACACCTGCTGCACAGGTATCAATTCAAATGATGTCTGCATGAGTAAAACAAGTCCAAAGTTCCAGAGATGTCCTCGTACAGCAGCTTTATGACATTTACACCTATAAATGTTTGTTTAACCGGGACTAAAGGCTGTAAACTGATACTTCTACTGCTGAACTGAAATTAGGACAACAACAGGCGTACAAAACTTCAGGTGGTATTATATTTTATATGTATACACAGCCATTGTAGGTTAACAGGTGCATGAAACATACCCTGGGGATAAGGATATTTAGAAAATTGACTTTCTTCCTCACAACTAGTCGCAAGCAGGTAATGGATCAACAATCAACCCTTTCATACCACAGCAGACTGTTTGAACTTATATAAGTCGCTAAACATAATAGCACAGAGACGTTGAAACCCTGTAAATTGTAAAACATTTCATTTTTGTTCTTTCAGCCTTCTCTCAGTATATCAAGGTCCAATGGTCAAACAGCAGCCAATATAATTTGTGTGAGAAGTAGTTTAGACATAAATTACTGGTGTCCATTCACTTCCTTCCCAGGACAAACCTCTCCCTTCTCTTACACAAGAATGACAAACAAGTCTAGCAGGTTAACACGACCTGTCTTGGTTCCATTGGCAATTCACTAAGCAACGTGATGAATGATGGCATTACACAACCTCAGCTTCAGCGCTGCTTGCAGAGTTTCTCTCCTACTCTTAAGCTTACCAGACAGGAATGTTTACTACATTCTTCTTTTCATTTTAGAATCAACTAGTTTTCCATTTAGACCAGGAGTGTCAAAGACATGGCCAGTGGGCTGATTCTACAGTTCTCTGAGGAATCCAATGATTTGAGGATGAAAATTAAAAGTAAAATCATGGTGAAAAGAGAACAAAAACATGTGTCCATATTGTTTTTTAGTATGAAATATATTCAACATATTACATTTTAATTAGGCCTATAGTATGTCAGGTCAGATTAACGTTTTGTCTTAATTTGTCATCTTACTGTAAAGTGTTGGAAACATTCTTTTATTTATACACATCATGCAACGGTTCCAGAGCCAGCCATTTCATTTTTTCTACTCTACAATTTGTCGCTAACAGCAAAAAGGTGGACAGATTGTATACAAAGTTTTGACTCTGTTAAGTACAAATCTGTACAATTTTGAGGGTGATTAATACTACAAAGGTATTTGTTTTTGTTTTTTTTACAAATTTTATAAATGTATGTAATCTAAAATCTTAAAAGAATGAAATTAGTAAACAAGCTTCCATTCATTTCATAAAACAGTAATATTTATTCTAAGCAGTATAAAACTCATTCTGTGCAATATTTTGTTTTAATTTGCATGCAACCAGATCTCAAGGGATCAATGTCTCAATGCTTTCATATGAATTTGTATAGAAACATAAAATTTTTAGAAAAAAAAAAACCCCCAAAAAATGTAGGTCCAGTCTTAAACCTAACCATCAGTGGAGCGAAAGCAGATCTTACAAAAATGTATGAATGAGATGCACAAATTCACACCCATTTGCCATCTATTCACCAAAATGCAGAGTAGTTACAAATGAGTGTGTTGAGACTGACACCCATGATTTAAAGGCAGACAGGAAGGAAGGGAAATCAGAGAGCAAGAAAACACAGAGAGACTGATAAAAGTCATCAAGTCTGTCTTATTTCTCCATATGGAGGACAGTCATTAATTTCTGCTGATCTTCAGACGCTGTATTATTCACTTTCCTCTGACCATCAGAGATGCCCTTCCTCCTCACCCTCATCATTTATCTCCTCACCTCAGAGACTAAATATCCACTGTGGCCTCTACCACAGAGTTTCATGTCTTTACTGTAATCAATACTAAACCCTGTAAACAAGAAAAGCACAAAACTGAATTTGATTAAATATTACTAATAAAACTATTAATATTATATCATATTGCAATCTGTTCCTATGGAAGTGCCATCTATTTTGACAGAGGAACTAAAATTATACTGGTTGTAATATAACTCGAAAAAGGTGTTGTTGAGAAGTAAAGAGGAATGCATGGAAATGGGACAGATATCAGAAACATGGATCTTAGGATGATGTCTGAGCAGAGCACAAGCTGTGCTCAAGGTGGTGTGTGTATCAGTATTGCACCTTGCTGGGTAACCGAGATGACGCAGAAACACACAAACAGTCCACACACACACGTTTGTACAGCTATCTTTTGGGGACTTGCCATAGACGTATATTATTTTCATACTGATCTAACAATATTTTCCATCCACTAAACCTAAACCTACCCCTCACAGAAATGTTTTTGCATTATTACATTTTTAGACAAACATCATTTAGTATTTTTATTTAATTTTTTTTTCCTCGTTGAGACCCCACAACGTCAAAAATGTCAGGTTTTATCCTTGTGGGAACATTTGGTCTCTTTGATTTGTCATGACAAATACAATGAAGAAATTCTTAAATCCACTATAAGTTAAAGGCGCAATAGGTGATTGTCTTCAGAAACATTTTTTGTTATGCTGGTTGAAAGTCTCTTCACATCCCGATAGCAAGCATTAAGTTAAGTGGTCTAAATGTATTTATATATTCTGTGAAAGGCGTTGGACTAGGGATGTAACGATTAACCGCGAGCTGGTTGAAAATCGATTCAAATATGTGACGATTCAAATCGGTTGAGATGCTAAACAAATCGCGATTCATTTAGAGGTAGGAGTTTATATGAAAGTATGTCTGAAGGGAACGTACTGTCTTTAGAAAAGTTTAGATGGTATTGGCCCGAATGTAAGACGACCCTGATTATAAGACAACCCCCCTTTTTCCAGACGTACCTTTTGGAAAAAGCCTTTTTAAAAACCAAATCTTGTTTTTTCTCAATAAAACACATTTTGTCTTCAATTATTTTCATATTGCATATTTTTCCTATTTTAATTTTTGTTTTGAAAGTATGGTAAAAACTGGTCAAATGTACCAACAATCACATTTAAAAAATATACACTTTTAAAAAAAAAATAAATAAATAAATAAAAAAAAAACAGGTAGCCCATCTGAATTAGGACATTTAGGCCATCCATCTAATAGTAGCCTACCAAAATCTTATTAACAGTAGAAGTTAAATCTTACTGTAGTCTTCAAATCTGGGTACTGTCTTACGTTTTAAAATCACA